GCCCGAGCCTCCGTACCTTTGCATTTTACTTCCGCAGCTCCTTACCCTCAATGTGGTTTTTCTCTTTTCTTCTAGTTGTAGAATTTCCACTCCACCAGCCTTCCTGTAGTTCTGGATGTTGACCGTCCTGTCCTTTCATTGCGTTTCTGAAGTTGTTGTAGGAGGCAGCAATCTCAGTGTTCCCCTATGCCGCCATCTTAGTTTCTCGTCTATTGCTATTTATTTTTAAGAATTGAATGTTTGTGTCCCACAAAATTCATATGTTGAATTTATTACTGTATTTGGAGATAGAGCCTGTGAGGAGGTAAAGAAAGTTAAAAGGGGTAATAAAGGTAGGGTCCTAAATTCCTTGGAAGAGGAAGAGACACCAGAGCTCTCTCTCTATAAGACACATGAGAAGGCAGCCATCTGCAAGCCAGGGAGAGAGCTCTCACCAGGAGCTAAATCTGTTCGCACCTTGATCTTCGATTTAACATCCCCCAGAACTTTGAGAAATAAATGTCTGTTGTTAAAGCCACCCAGTCTGTGGTATTTTGTTATAGCAGCCCAAGCAGACTGACACATTTACCATTACTTTACCATGATCTCTCCCAATGGACAGTGTGTGCACAGTGTGGAAAAGAGTTGAAAAGACCCAGATGTGAATCCGTGTTTTGCTACTTACCCACCATGTGCTTCTGGGCAAATCACTTAACCTCTCTGTGTCTCAGTCCCCGCAGGGAATACAAAGGTAATAATACTTAGCTTCCAGAACATACTAATGGTGGCATATGCAAAGCCTCCAGCACAGTGCCAAGCTAGAGGCTAAACAAATGGTAGCAATTATCATAGCCATAATTATAGTCACTATACTATTTGATCTACCTTCCTGAAACAATACAACTCAAACAAAATTATGCGCAGAGACTTCAGCTCGAAGTCCCTAAAGCTGTACATGTAATATGATTATCAAATGCACCTACCCCTTTTCTTTGAGCCACTAAATTCCACACAAACTCCTGGCATAGCTCTGTATTATTTTATTCTAAAATGTATTCTGTTTAAAAACTAGTCTTTGAGGCCCTGGCCAGGTAGCTTAGTAAGTTAAAGCATTGTCCCAATATACCAAGGTTCTGGGGTTGACACCCAGTCAGAATGCACAAATAAGTGGAACAACAAATCAATGTTTCTCTCTCTCTCTTCCCCTTTCTCTCTCTCTAAAATTAATCAAAATCAAAACAAAACAAAAAACCACACCACTGTAGTCTTTTGAAAATATAAGATCAATACATGTGCAAGGTTTTGAAAAAACCCAACTAGTATAAAAGATTATAAACATTTCTCTTTCTCCCTGCCCACACCTCTGCCCCACTCCCCACAAGTAGTTACTGCTAACACCTCTGTGGCTTTCCCATCATTTTATTTTCATTTAATTTATTTTAAATACAAACTGACTCCCAGTACCTTGCCTTTTTTCACTCAATTTTATCATAGAGATCAATCATGTCAGCAGATATAAATGTACCCAACTCTTTTAACAACTGCATGGCATTCAACTGTATAGTTAGCATAAGTTAGCTTCCTAAAGATGAACATTATTGTGTGGGTCTTGTTGGTATTATTAAACAACTAGAAGCCCAGTGCACAAAATTCGTGCACTGGATGGGGGGAGGGTGGGTCCCTCAGCCCGGATAGCAAGAGGGTGCAGGCCAGGCCAAGGGACCTCACTGGTGCACAATCGGGGCCAGGAAGGAACACGGGAGGTTGGCCAGCCGGGGAGGGACCGTGGGAGGGCTCCAGGGCATGTCTGGCCTGTCTCGCTCGGTCTCAATCAGGCGGACCCCAGCAGCAAGCTAACCTACCAGTCAGAGCGTCTGCCCCTCTGGTGTTCAGTGCACACCATAGCGTGCTGTTGAGCAGCCTTAGCATATCATTAGCATTATACACTTTTAATTGGTTGTTCTGCCATTAGGTCTATTTGCATATTATCCTTTTATTATATAAGATATAAGATAAATTCTTAAAACATATCCTAGATCAAAGGATATATGCAATTTTTAAATTCTGAGAAAATTTTGCCAAACTGCCTTGCAAATAAGTTGTACAGATTTGCACTCCTGGAAGTGTCTACTGTCTCAAAATTTTAATATACCCTGGAAACATGTTAACCAATGTTGAATCAGGCATTGTCTTTCTCCAATATTTGTGATATTAGGTATTAGCCTTGTTTAACTGCTGATTCTATAAAGTAAACACAATAGGATGGGCTTGAGAATGTGTCCTTAAACTATTCATGAGTTTTTATTTCTTTACATTTTTGCTGCAAATCTGTGGAACTATCAGATCTTTGGCCAACTGTATTTCCTGCTACTCAGGGCCTTAAAAATAAACAAAAATAGGGCAGCTGAAAAGCCCTCCACTGCTTTTCCATTTCCAGGCCTCAGCCTAGCAGTCAGGCTCAACCCCCTTGTGAGGTCTCATCCCCCACTTCTCAAGAGGGGCCTCAAGCTAATCCGGTCTGTCAGTTGTTACAGACCCCCATCCCTATCTTCATTTGCTCAAACCCTCTTTGTCCTTCAAAACCCAGGACAAGATACCAGGATACTAACTCCCATCAAGAAAGGGACCTATCCAGATTCTTAATCTCTGAGGCTCCCCCTTGGAACTTTACCTGGGGCACTTAGAATTTTCAATCCAGATAAGGAACAAGAACAAGTCTTCCCACAGATGCCTTGTATGGCTTTGTATGGTCACAGCACTTAATCACTGTAAGGGCACAGTAAGTATTTATAGAATAAATCTTCTTTGAATACTTTCCCCAATTCTTTGCCTTTGTACCAGCATAGCTATCTCTCCCTGGAATGCTCACCTGCCTGTGACTATCCACTAAGTCAATATCTTAACTATTCTCACCAGTAAACATATGAAAAGAGCGTGTCAATCATTCCAGATTTAAAAAATGCAAATTAGTAAAACACGGAAATATGATTGTTTTCACTGATGAGATCTTCAAAAATAAAAGTTAGAAATAATAAAAGTTTGATGACATCAGTTCTGGTGGAAGTACAAGAAAATACACATGTTCACACACTGCTGATGAGAGGATAAGAGAGCAACATTTCTGGAGGACAATTTGGCAATCTGCATCTAATTTTTAAAGTTTATTTATTTATTTATGAGAAATGGGAGGGAAGGAAAGAGATATCAATTTGCTGTTCCACTTATTTATGAATTAATTGGTTGATTCTTGCATGCGCCCTAACTGGATCGAATCTACAACCTTGGCATATCAGGACAAAATTCTTAACCAATTGAGCTATCTAGCTAGGGCTGCATCTAATTTTTAAATGACCATGTCCCTTGACCTAGCAATTTCATTGCAAGTACACCCTTCAGATATGTTCAAAAAGTAATCCCAGACACATTTACACAAAGCAGATCTTTGACAGCATTGTTCATAAAAACAAAAAACTGAAAACAATGTAAGTATTTAATAGGGGACGGGCTAAATAAAGTATGGAGATCCATTTAAAGGAATATCATACAATCCTTTTTATGCCAAAAAAAATTTTTTTTAAGGATACCTACATGTGATGACAGATGCAGACTTTTTTCCTCCACAGACACACGAGAAACTATTAAAATGACTATTTCTGGGACAAGAGAAATAGGTGTTTTGCTTTTTATTTTATACCTTTAGATACTGTTTGAATTTTCCAATGTGTGTGTATTGCTTTTGTTTATAGGCAGGTGAGAGGCTTGCAGGCCATTTATTTTCTTCTTTATATTTTTCTGAATTTCCTCTCTCATAACCATTCTAAAAATGAATATTTTTTAATCCTACCTATTTTCAAGGTTCCACATTACCTAGCACTGATCATAGGCATTAGAAAGCATATGCAGATACACTTAGTACTACATTGCATCTCCATTTTTTACCTGCTCTCTCAGATCACAACTGCCCCAGCACAATAGGTTGCATCCACTAAGCCTTTATAAACCTCACTGGTGGTGGCTTAGTAAGCATTCAGATAAATATCCACTGAATGAACAATAAATGGTGATGCCAATATTAATAAAATGATTCCTTTTCTCCTTTGGTCCTAGGCCAGTGATAGCGAACCTTTTGAGCTCGGCGTGTCAGCATTTTGAAAACCCCTAACTTAACTCTGGTGCCGTGTCACATATAGAAATTTTTTGATATTTGCAACCATAGTAAAACAAAGATTTATATTTTTGATATTTATTTTATATATTTAAATGCCATTTAACAAAGAAAAATCAACCAAAAAAATGAGTTCGCATGTCACCTCTGATACGCGTGTCACAGGTTCGCCATCACTGTCTTAGGCCATGGACTTCAAAATAAATTCAGATAATAGAGTGGATACTAGAAAATGTCTGATCACTCAACAAAAGAAAAAATGGCCCAAAGTTGATAAGTTGCTTAGCAGGAAAAAGCTTTCTGTATTTAAAACAAAGGTAAAGGTGTAGAGTTTGTTTCAAAGTTAGAGAATGTGTCAAGCCCTGATATTAAAAGAAATGGTTTCTATTTTCTATGACTGCCAAGTTGGAGGTGACCTTAGGGATCATATAATCCAGTAGCTTAAAGTTTTGTGGGTTTTTTTTATTATTAAAGTAAAGTTGACATACAATATTATATTAGCTTCAGGTGGATGCTTCAAGTTTTTTGGATGCAGAATCTATTTTATTCTCTAAGTGGAAGTCTTCCAGAAAACAACTACACATAAATAACAGCTAAGTTGCCTAGTTTGGGAGTTCATCTACAAAGCTCTGTTCCAGTGTGTTTATTTCCCCAGGATCATAAAGCACATGTCTGGTCCTGAATTACTGACTCCATCACTTCCCAGCTGCCTGACTTTAAACTGGTCATTTTAGCCCTGCTAGATGTGGCTCAGTTGGCTGAGTGTCTTCTGGTGCACCCAAAGGTCAGGGCACATGCCTAGGTTTTGGGTTCCATCCTCGTTGAGGGTGTGTGCATGTGGGAGGCAACTGGTGGATGTTTCTTGCTCTCTCTACCTTCTTCTCTCTCTACAAATCAATAAAAAAACAAAAAAAAGGAAAAAAATATTACAAAACACTCAAATAAAAACTGGTCCCTTTATTTCCCTGAACCATTTTTCTTATCTGTAAAATGGGAATAAAGCTAGTAACTAACTTTTAGGGTTGTTAACACATAAAGCACCTAAAGCAGTGCTTGGCTCAGTAAATGACAGGTATTTTAACTGTTCTTCGGCTCAGCTTCTTCATCTGTAAAATGGGATTTATAATAGTACCTACCTGAGAGGGTGGTTGCAAGGACTCAATGAGTTAATGTACATAAAAGCACTTAATAGTATGCTGTGCAGAACAGTAACCACAAGCCACATGTAGCTATAAAGTACTTAAAAGGACTAGGCTAATCTGAGACATGCTATAAATGTAAAATACATACCAGAATCAGAAAACTTAGTACCAAAAAGTAAAATATTTCACTGATATTTTTATGGGATTACACGTTGAAATATTTTGATAGAGTGGATTTAAAAAACATTAAGATTAATTTCCTGTTTCTTTAAAAAAATTTTAAAGATATTTTTATTATTGCTTTCAGAGAAGAAGGGAGAGGGAGAGATAAAAACATCAATGATGAAAGAGAATCATTGATTTGCTGCCTCCTACACACCCCACACTGGGGATCGAGCCTGCAACCTGGGCATGTGCCCTGACTGGGAATCGAACCGTGACCTCCTGGTCTATAAGTCAACGCTCCGCACTAGCCAGGCTCTTTTTAATTTTTAAATGTGGCTGTTAGAAAACGTAAAATTAGACATGTGGCTTGCAATTTATTATTTTTTTAAATATATATTTTATTTCAGAGAGGAGGGAGAGCGAGAGACACATGAATGACGAGATCCACAGGCCAGAAGCCTCCTGCACAACCCCCCCTGGGGAGGGAGCCCCCCCGTCCATGGGCCCTGACCACAGAATCCAACTGTGACCTCCTGGTTCACAGGTCACCGGCCAACCACTGAGCCACACCGGCCGGGCTGGCCATTTGTTTCTATGAGACACGGCCGCCTGAGAACACGCCTGGCATGACAACAGCCAGCCCTTGGTGAGAATCTGGTAGGCGGTGGGGGTGCGGCGATGAAAGAGGCCCGGCGGAGGCCGAGCCGTCCCTCAGCGGCGGCGGGGAGCGGGGTCAGG